TGCTTTCCCCTGAGGCTGAGAGCATGTGACTTGCCCAAGGTCACCCATAGGTTTCCATGGTTGAGCAGGGATTCGAATCCTGGTTTCCAGAGCCGTAGTCCAACACTCAAACCACTATGCCACACTAGGAAGCCATTGGCTAAGATCCTACATCACTGAGCATAGAATAATAGTTTTACAGATGCGCTCAGTGACACATTGGCACAGCGAAAGCTCCTTTTCCCCTTGCCATTGGACCAGCCAGTTTTGCTAATGTTCTTATTAAATCCAGTGTATTGTTGGTAACCAGCTGTGTTTGTCATTATTTTGCTTCATGGGGTAGGTGATGACGGGTCAACAGTGCAACTGACCACGCACCCGCATGTGCGATCAATTCACAGGCGGCCAACAAAAAGAACTATGGGGAGCAATGGTACTGGGGTCTTGCCAGCCTCTTCCCGCGTCTCAGTACTGACACGCATTTCACACTTTTCAGCTTGAACAAGAGCAGAATGAGGGTTAGTTTGCTCCTGTGTTTAGCTCCTGAGCATGGCTTCATTTTGTATCCCTCCCATTTTGGCCATATGCATCGTCTGAACAGGTCAGTTTCAACACAGGACAGAACCGCTTCTTTTAGCCCATGCGGACAACCCTTTGGTCTCCCTTCACTGGACACATTTTATCTTATCAATATCCTTTTTGAATTGTGGTGCTCCGAAATGGACACAGTATTCCAGGTGAGGTCTGACCAAAGCAGGAGAGAGTGGCAGTACTATTTCTCTCAATCTGGACATAGTGTAAGTGTGCTGTTTTGCTGGGCTTTCTATTTTTTATGGCACTTGTTTTAAAGAGGTTTAATTCTATCAGTAATTCAATTGCATTGTAATATAACTTTTTGTATGATTTTATTTATGGCCCTGTAATGGCTTGTAACTGTATTTGTTTTGATGTCTGTAAGCCATATTGAGTTTCAGTATTAGGGGAAAGGTGGAATAAAAATGAATATAGAATAATAATAATATAGTGGGCCCTTGGTATTGCTAGAGTTTGGTTCCAGGATGTCCTGTAGATATCAAAATCCATGGATACTCAAGTCCCATTAAATACAATGGCATAGGAAAATGGTACCCTTTATATAAAATGGCAAAATCAAGGATTGCTTTTTGCAATTTATTTTTTATTTTTTAAATATTTTCCAGCTGGTTACTTGAATTCATGGATAAAGAATCCATAGATACTGAGGGATGACTGTATATCTGTTGTTTCGATCAATCTCACTAATCTCTTTTACCTGGCAATTTCTTTCCCCCCCCAAAAAAAAACAAAAAACACATACCATTCCCACAGATAAATAGACACATGGTTCTAAAAGTCAGTTTGCATTTATTGGCACTTTAAAAATTGCATTGGTCCCAACTGGTTCCACAATTAAATCACTCACTCCTTGTTACACAATGTTGACCTCCAGTGTTCAGCAGAGGAACTGCACACCCATTTTTCCATGATTCCCTCCCAAGTTCCATTATGTGGGAGAAAGGATTGAAAGGGTGAGGAGTCCAGCCTATGGATAAAGATAGCAGCACCTTAGAAGAGATTGTTAGGTTTAATCTCAACTAGTCCAGCTTCTGATTAGTGGCAGAGAGTAGCTTGTGAGTGGGCCCAAAAAGTCACACTAAAAAGACAAAACCCAGCCAGGTAAAGGCAGATCATGGCTGGCCCTGAGGATAACGCAAACACCACTCGCAAGCATTCTGGAACATGCGAAGCCATGGTGAGACCTTCATGGACTGGCGCCAGGAGGTAGGCATCCATGGCCACTGCCAGGGCAGGACACAACGCTCTGGATGAGGCATCATTGCCAAGTGGCGGCCATCAGGAGAGCAAATGCCTGCAATCCCCAGCGGGGATCCATTGGGATTGAGAGGATATTCTTCAGTCGGAAGCCCCTGATCATCCACGTAGCGTAATGGGATCAAGTGAGCAGAGCGCACCTTGGCCAGGACTTCAGAGGAGCGGAAGCGCATTCGACCTGTGGAGAGGCAGCATGGATAGATGGATGGGAAGTGGGAAGAAAGACACAGTGAGCTGTAGATAGTCCAAAAAAGGTCATTTTTCTGTTCTCACTGTACCATATAAACATAAAACTGTGTTCAACTGGTTATGTATTAGGCAATATCACTACCACCAATTCACACTGCTTAGAAAAGAGCCAGCATGGTGTGGTTGTTTGACCATTGGACTCAGACTCTGGAGATCAGGGATCGAATCATCACTCAGAACCCACTGAGTGATCTTGGGCAAGTCACATATCCTCAGCCTCAGAGGAAGACAAAGGCAAACCCTTTCTGAACAAATCTTGCCAAGAAAACCCTGTGATAGGCTTGCCCTAGGGTCGCCATAAGTCCAAAACAGACA